TAATGATTAAATTGCTTTTTATTCGTAAATTTTTATAAAAATAGCCAGACGTTTCAATTTATTAGTTAAATTTTCTTCAGTGGCAATAAAGATATGTTATAAGAAAACATAAAATTCAAACAAAAAAACTTGTATATAGCAAAACGACTTTACACTTTTCTAAAACGATGTTGACTATAGATAATTTATACAAATATAAAAATTTACGAATAAAAAGCAATTTAATCATTATTTTATTAAAATATTTTTAAATATTAGTTCTATATTCGTATTCCCATATTCAGAAACATCTCTATGTCTGTATACCTTGTGATGAAATGATGTGCAAAATGTGATGAGTTTAAAGTTCATCTTATTCATTATGAGGAGTTTCATCTCATTGAACTTTCGCCCCTTTCTGATTTTGCACATCTATTTGATAAAGAAATCTTGATCTTATAAACTAAGATCGCTAGTAATACAAAGCTTATTCCTCTAATGTTGAAATGTTGACAGTAACAGAGAGTACTTACGAAAATGTTTTGACGAAAGAAGCTAAAGTTGGTGACAGTATTTTCTGTTTTCTGTATGTATGACGGAAGATATATGTTATCTGTAAGGAATAAAATTTGTGTATGATGCCAAACAGATCATGATTTATACTCAGTCAAAATAGTGTAATTGTTTTTTTGCGATTTTAGTGAGCGTCGATTTCCCGGCTATAATCGTGAATCATCGCAGTTTAAAGCTGATGTTCATCGTCGTCATATATTTGGTTTACATGTAGCTGATTATATGAACTCACTCAAAGACGAGAATTCTGATCAATATCAAAAACAATTTAGTCGATTTATTAAAAATGGAATTGCACCAGATAATGTAGGTTTAATACTTTCTATCTCGTTCACTCAATAGACATGTTCTTATATCTTGGAATTTTTGTAGTTTGAAGCAATGTATAAATCAGCTCATGCAGCTATTCGCTCGGATCCATCACCAACAAAAAAGAAAGAGAAGAAAACGGATGTAAAACCAAAACGGTATGTTTTCTGTTTTCTTTATTCTATTCAATTTAGCTATAATTTTTTATTTGTTTTTCTAGTTGGACAAAAGTCAAATTGGCTCGTTCATCTCGACAAAATCGGGTACAGCAACGAAAAACAGCGTTTTTAAAAACAATTCAAGCCGAACCAGAAGAATAAACAGATGGAAAGAAGAAAATAAAAAAAAATTAAAATTCAGTGATCACAATTTTGTTTTTGTTTTGTTATTGTTTTATACGATGAGAGTAAAATCTCATACATATTCGTTTTTCTCTTTCTTAATGCGGCTGTTGTTGTTTTTGTCATGAGAAAAGGTAACACAAATACAGAACGTAAACGAACATGCAAAATAAAAACAAACCTTTCTAAATAAAAAACATCATATAATTGTTCTTTGCAGTTTTATGTTGCCATATAGCAGAAAAGTAATCTGTATATATTCGCAGCTGATTAATGCTTGAGCGTTTCTAAAATAATCGTAACATTTGGTTTAACTAGCATCCTTCCTCTCGAGTAGCTGGTAGCCATATTCTCAACTACTGGAAAGTTTTGTTTTTCAAGAGTCCTTTATCATCAACAAAATCACTCCACCCAATCTCGAGCTTAATATCATAAAAATTCACTCGGTTTTGCTAATAATGATTCCTTTTTCATATAACTATTTGAACAAGACATAACAATTGTCGATGTTTTGTATTAATGGAATATGGCTTTTAGTATTTTTGTATTATGACAGATATGAACTGTTAGCAATCAAAGGAAAATACCGATTATACTCTATGAAATATGTTCCTTAATGCTCGTTTAATGTGCTTAAGATAACGCAAATCATTGATTTCTTGCCATTGTTACATCTATCATCTATGCTGTTCTTTTATTTAAAACCGTCACCGTCAAATTCTACACGTTAAGTCCTATTGGAAAGAGAGTTCAAAGGACATCTTGTGAACTACTTACATGATGAAATAGCTACAAAGATCTACTTTGCCTTTTTACTTAGTAGTTTTTACTTAGTTTATTTTAAGTTAATTCATAAACGTGGGCGATTTTCTTCAAGATTCCTCTGCGTTAGGATTGCAACCGTTCCGACTGGTAAAGCTGTAGTCCGGATCAATATGGATAATATTTCATCGATTTATCGGTGATTTCTTACATTTTCCGAAAATTTGATTCGGAAATTTGAACGTAGAAATTTTTTGTAAAAAAATGACAGTTTGAAACAGGCATTTTTCTTTGATCAAACCGAGGCATCTATACATTTCTATCCATAAATGCTACAATCCCCGCAAAATTCGAAATTTCACGTTGACAGTAGATATTTACGGATAAAAGTTATAAATGCATGAAATTACTTTGTTTCTCCTTTCAGTTCACTCTTTCAATCAGACCAGAGCCTCATCGTCCAAGTTTCTCTGTAAGATGTTTTAGAAAAATAATCACAAGAATAAATAAAGCAAAAAGTTTCTGTAGGATCCTAAACTCGTAACGGTTTGCCAAAGAGCCAAAAAATCCTGGAGTTATAGGTGAAGGGAAAAAGAAAAAAACAAAATCAGAAATTAGTACTGATAACATCGAATCTGTAGCACAATTTCAAATAACGTTGTGCAGCATATACATTAGAAACAGTGACTTTAGTTGTGTAATCTAACTTCACATGCTTACTTAAGTCTCCATTTATACAAAACTGATTGTATGTTTTTCGATTATTTCAGTTTTAGATTATTATAATGAGATTCATTTCACTTCTACTTTGCAAGATTTAAGATTGAATCAAGTTTAGTGGTACTTGAGCACAGTTCTTGATTCAACTTAATGTAGAATTATGAGGCTTATATTTCTGAGGAGAAAACATACCATTCTAGATATTCTAAAAGCTTGTTCGATCGGAATCTGTTGTATATTCGAGCTATGCATAGTCGACTGCCTTAGGCACAGGGTGCCTAAATTCAGTTTTTCGTAAAAAAATCAGAGGTTGATCAGGAGATATTTTCTAAAAAATCAAGAGGAAAGCAGGAGAGTTTCAGACAGTTTTTTCTTGGAGAAGCACAATAAAATAATTCAACAACTTTTTCAGAAACATAGATTTTTTCAAATACTTTTTGATGAAACAGTATTATCATTTGTTACAGACTGTAGTACTGTTTGAGGAAGAAAATTTTGATCTGATGGGTTTGGCAGTTCACTAATCTGATCTTCTTGTGATGAGAACATTCGATAAGCATACAGCGGACTCTTTCAATGTACAATTATTTAGACTCTTGATCCACAAATTCTGTTTCTGAAACTGATAATCTCAGTTTTGGAAAAAACAAAATCAATACAGTAAAACAATTGAAAAATCAGGAGAAAATCTTAAAAATCAGCTCCTGAAATCAGGAGAATTTTCATCAGAAGAAAAGTCTAAAAAATCAGGAGTCTCCTGGTCAAATCAAGAGATTTGGACACTCTGCTTGGGCATCATAATTTTGGATCGAAGGAAGTATCTCTGAAAAGAGTTTTCTTATTATTTTGCCCAATCATTTTTTGGAGGAGCCTAAAGACTACGCAATGTCGAAGAATTTTTAACTGTACGTCAACCTAAAATTTGATTCCTATACGATAATCGATTATGGAATCTATAATCGGCTTCGATCGAACAGGTTAGAATTTCTTGAGTAGGTTGATATAATCAGTGGTGACTTTAAGAAGCAAAAGGATTGGAGATATTTCGAAAAATTGAAAACAATTTAGTCTTTTTTGGCGAATCTGAGGAGAAATTTCTCAAATCGGGACAGGTTCCTTCTAGTGGTGTAGCCACCGGGTGGGCTCAGCTCACCCACTAAAAGTTTTATAATTCACACTACTCTGCGCTAATGCCTACCACTTTGAAAAAATTTGCGGCAACGCCCACCCACTAAAAATATCCTGACCACGTCACTGGTTTCTTCCTCTTTAAATTTAGGTAATACTCGTCGATCTGTTTTTGTAGAATTGCAGCACTGGTACAGAAAGTGGATGAAATGACAATAGGTTTCACGTGGATTAATTTGACTGTGAACACTGTTTCTTATATAGTCTTTATCTTACGATGTAGTCACGAAATGGCGACCTCAATTTAACAGAGAGTGATTGGTGTATTTCGCTCGCCTATGAGAGCAACGTTCTTTTACAAACGTGTCATCCATTATTCAAAACTCTTATCTATTGAATTTATTATACAAGAAGTTAATTATTGTATTGAACTAAAAACGCTAACAAAGGAATGTCTCCAACAACAATCGGTCCTTTATCTCTGCGAGATCGTCATATTGCGACGTTGAAACAAATGTTAAACTTAAATGTCCCATTAACAAAATCGACAAATACAGAATTAGCCTGGAAAATATTAGTATACGATGAATTAGGTCAAGATATTATATCACCACTATTAACAGTCAAAGAATTAAGAGATTCAGGAGTAACACTTCATGTGTAAGTATATTAAAGGCACTTTATCATTTTAATGTCATTTTTTAAAAAGTCAGAACTCTTAGTTAAATCTAAAAAAAGTCTAATGTTAGATTATAGAAGCCGAATGTCACTGGACTTCATTTTTAAAATCTACATATACTTGTCGAAATAAATTTTTTTGTCTCTCTTACTCTTAGTCCATTGAAATCTGAACGAGATCCTGTTGATGAAATTGCTGCCGTTTATTTTATTATGCCAACAAAAGAAAATATTCAACGTATAACAAAAGATTTCCGCGATAACTTATATGATAATTATTATCTGAATTTTATTGCTCCAATTCCACGTGATCTATTAGAAGATTTAGCTACATCAGCATTAGAATTCAATTGCCAACATCATATATCGAAAATATTCGATCAATATTTAGATTTTATTACGTTGGAAGATGAATTGTTTTGTTTGAGACAAACAGGACGAGATAATGTATCATATTATGGTAAGAATGTTGAAAGAAAAGCAATTAAATTAAAATGAATTATTTTGTGTTCAAATTCAAATCTCAAAAATATTCTTTCTTATTTTTTACTGCAAATTTCACTTCTCTTAGACTGCAGACTAATTATTTGTTTGATTTTTCTATTTATTTTTGAGCTTTAAATCGTGGTGATATGCAAGATACAGATATGGAACGTTTGATTTCAACAATTGTTGATAGTTTATTTTCGGTTTGTGTTACTCTTGGATCTGTTCCAATTATCCGATGTCCAAAAGGCGAAGCAGCGGAAGTTGTTGGTGAACGTTTGGACAAGAAACTTCGTGACAGTTTACGTGATACAAGAAATAGTTTGTTTTCAGCTGATTCAATGTCAAGTGGTGCATTAAGTTTTCAACGCCCATTATTAGTTATTTTGGATCGTAATACAGATTTAGCATCGTTATTACATCACACTTGGACATATCAAGCACTTGCGCATGATGTTCTTGATTTTAAATTGAATCGTGTTGAAATTGAAGAAGTTGATGAAACTAATAGTGGAACTGCTTCAACAACAACATCAAAATCTAAAACCAAACGACGAAGTTATGATCTAATATCCACTGATCAATTTTGGAAACAACAAAAGGGAAAGTAAGTTAAGTAATATATTTCATATCATTTTTTCTTATTTTTTATATTGATTTAGTCCATTTCCAATTGTTGCTGAATCTATTCAGGAAGAATTAGAACGTTATCGAAATTCAGAAGATGAAGTGAAACGATTGAAATCAGCAATGGGTATCGAAGGTGACGCACAAGATTTAGCCATTAGTATGTTAAATGACAATACAACTAAATTGACGAATGCTGTGAGTTCTCTGCCAGAATTATTAGAGAAGAAACGTTTATTAGATGCACATACAAACATAGCTACAGCTCTACTAGACCACATTAAAAAACGAAAATTAGATGTATTTTTTGAAACAGAAGAAAAACTAATGACAAAACAAGTACAAGAAAAATCATTAATGGAAGTGTTGAGTGATCCAACATGTGGTACTTCTGAAGATAAATTACGTTTATTTTTAATCCAATATATTTGTTCACCGATGATGACTCAGAGTGAATTAGATCAGTATATTACTGTGTTGAAAGGATCAAATTGTAACATAGATCCTGTTTTATATATTAAAAGATGGAAATCGATTAGTAAAATGAGTGTCGTTTCACAAGCAAGAGAAGGTGGTACAACAACAATGGGAATGTTTTCAAATCTAATGAATAAAGCATCTAAGTTTGCCATGGAAGGTGTCAAAAATCTTGTCGTTAAACAACATAAATTACCAATAACAAAAATTGTCGATAATCTAATGGAAAGTCGTTCATCACCAGAAACAGATGATTATAGATATTTTGATCCTAAACTATTGAGAGCAACAGACAGGTAACGTCTTTCTTTCGTCTATTTTCCAAATTCAATGTTTCCACGTGTCTTGTGTGCATATTTCAGTCATGATGATAAGTAAGACACATTTAGTGGATGGATAACTGTAACTGTAACTGCTCTGCTCAAGACTAAACTAAAACGTTTCTTCAAAGTATTAATTGACATTTTTAACTCTAGTTTACTTTTGTTTTAGTGCCAATACTGCCCGTAATCGGCAAGCTTTTAACGACTCGATTGTATTTGTTATTGCTGGAGGAAATTATATTGAATATCAAAATTTACAAGATTATGCTAAAGCTCGTTCGACGATATCGTCAAAACGAATTGTCTATGGTTGTACAGAATTAGTGAATGCCACACAATTTGTCGAACAGCTTTCTAAATTGGGTCGAGATTTAAGCTAAGATAAATTTATAATCATTACTCATTTCGGCAATGGCGTTGTTGGTGTTTTTTTCGTTATATTTTATCTAATTTTCGTTCTTATTCTACCGTTTTTTTATAGTTAATTATTTCTTCACAAACACTAAACATTAAAATATTCGTCACGGGAATAATACAGAGAATACTACAGTATACAATACTACACGGGAATAATACAGAATTTGAAGGCAAAGTAGATGGAAGAAACGGGTAGAAAATAAATAAGTATTCATCCGATTTAGTAAAGAGCAAAATGTGAGACAGTTAGTTTACCAGTTAGAATTGTATTTAGTTCAGGATTCACATTTGACTTTTTTTGTATCTTACAAATCGGAAGAACAACAGTAAGAAAAAAAAACTAGCCTCAGTTTGATTCTAATAATATAGAGTACGAGTGGCGTGGATTTTTTTTTTTCTGTTTTTTTTCGTTTACAACTGTCACAGTTATTATTTCTTTTTCTTGTTGCGTTTTTTTTTATTTAAGAAATCTTGAACTGAACAGTTTAGACGTTTTTGTTTAATATAATTGTCAATTGATTATTCAATCGATAAACAACCGCGACGATATAAAATAGGCAAACAGAGGATTTTTGTTGATTCAAAAAGCGCTTCTTGACTTTCAATAATGAATAATTATCTTGATATCCGTGCAGCTGTTGTATTTATCATTGAATGATAGGTTTGTTCAAGAATTTCTAACATTTTTAATCACATTGTTGAATGAACTTGATGACATGTCCAGTAACGTTGTAAATAATGAATTATTATGAGAAACTCTTTCATTCTACATAAATTTGACAATCAAATAAAACTAAGGAATGAATATGAATTAACAAAACGAAAGCAAAAGAAGAAACTGAAACAAGGAAAAAATAATAATCATGTTTTCGTTTTACCTGACGCAATACTATAATGCAGAGTTGTAACCGACTGAAAAAATTGGAATCGGATCGGTCTATCAGCAATCTAAAATAGTGGATTCCCGTTTCGTCGAAAAGTAGTAAGTGTAAAAGTATGTACTTCAAAAAATTTCAGAGACTGCCGCGGTGGTATGAGAATGAGTTTTCGACAAAATGGGAACTAATCATAGCTGCCACCTTATCCAGATTTTTCGGACAAATTTCGGATTCTGAGTATGTTCTGCTTTTCGCTGTTGTTTGCCTTTCTCATACTATAGGCTAATGAAAATACCAGTTACTTTTTGGATTAAAAATATACATTCAAAAAACAGCGTGTCGATTAAAATCGAAATTTATATTATGTTTGTTGTTTGCGAGTATTTTATCGACTAAAATCATATAGAGCTGCAGAAGAAATCTTTTTTGGCACTCTGCGCAATAGAAAAAGATTAAATAAGGTACTGAAAATAGGTTTTCAGATTGTGAAAAAAAATTTCCAGATATTGGGATTATGATTCCGGATTTCTGACTTGTACAAGTGGCAACTCTGGAACTAACCGTCAAAAGAGAATATAATAGAGAAAGTTAGCTTAAAAAGATACTGACTGACCGATTGAAAAATTTAATCGAATCGATTACCGGTCAATTGACCGATCAGGTACCGATTTGTCGATCCGGTTTCAACTCTGCCATAATGTGGTGTGCAGGGATATTTTTCAATATCAACTAAATTGCTGACAAGTTTTACGTCCTCCTTCTGCAACAATACAACGCATTTGGTGCCAAAGAAAACTAGTTAACAATTAGTTCATACATTCGATAGCTAAAAAGAAAAATACTCTAATGAGAAAGCTTTCTTAGGTGGTTCATCCCGATTTTAAAAAAACAGATTTTCAGAGGTTATTTTTCGTATTTATCATGAAGCCGATCTTCATTTGTATCTCTAAGGCTTTTAAAAACGGTCAGGAGAGATCTACCATAACCACCATTGTAAACACAGAGTTGAAGACTGATTTGTTTTATTCTTAGAATTCTGAACTTTTCTGCTTCTTTTACTTTAAAAGTTTTCTAGCATTGCAGACCAATGTTAGTTAAGTTTAATGGTTACATTAACTCGACGTACTCTACAATCTAGTGCATCTAAATGTAGCAAATGGATAGTATACAATGGCTCTCTAAAGGCACGATCCTTGAAAACTGGCCGTGAATGCCCCAGGGAATATATGAAGATCAGATTCATAATATATACCAAAATAAACTGGTTAATAAGAAGACTCTTCGAGTCTTCTTATTAACCATCATTTGAAATCATAACAAGAGACCAATCTAAACTAATGATGTTTGTAATTACCCTCATTTATTTAAAGCAAATTAGCGCACTTTTCAATATATGTCGAAATCAGATATGTCAGGAAAACTCTCGAATATTAGCTTTTACATCTACATTTTATGTGTTACACAGCACTTCTTTCATTTTCGCTTTTATTATGTACAAATTTATCATTATTAAAATCATGTTTCATGTTAATGTCATGGTGAGTAGAATCCTGAGATTCTTGACTACAAACCTTGTTCAAAATGAAAATGATCATTAGAAGAAGAATGGTAATATGAAAAGAACGATGTGATATGATCAAAAATAATTGCAACAGATAAAGAAGATAATGTTGCTGTCATTTTACTAAAACTAACGTTCGAAGGCTGAACTAAAAGAATTATTTGTATCGTCAAGAGAAATAACTTACATGTAGTTTCATTTGTTTTCATATTCTACTTTTAACAAAGTGATGTTAAACGAAACCACAATACACACAATCACACTTGTCCAGGACCAGTTTACCAAATGGGTGTTGATACCATGTTTTTTTATTGGTAATATAACTAATATTTTAAATTGTTTTATATTTTTACAACAATCGTTACGTACACAAGTTTGTCCTATTTATTTTGTTTGTGTATCAATCACAAATTTATTTGTTATTGACTTTCTATTATTAACAAGAGTAATGATGAGTGGTTTTGAGTATGATCCAACAACATGGTCAGATTTATTTTGTAAATTACGTACATATTTATGGTTTGTATTTAGTCAATGGCCTCGTTCATTTCTTGTATTAACATGTATAGATCGATATCTAATTAGTTCGCCGAATGCAAATTATCGAAAAATGAGTCAAAAAAAATATTTAAAATATATAATACCAATAAATATTTTTCTATGGAGTGCTCTACCGTTACATGTACCATTTAATATGATAATTATAAATCGTAGTTGTGTATCTCTACCTGGATTCTATTACATACTAAATACAGTTTATAATTTATTGACATCTGCTGTAATACCGATTCTTATTCTGTCCATATTTAGTTTATTAATTATTAAGAACGTTCACCGACAAGGCCGTCGAATACACGGATTAGTAGTTCAACGACGGTGTCGAAACGAACGACATGGAGATCAATTGACATTAATGTTATTATCTCATGTTTTAATATATATTATAATAAACTTATTAAATCCAATATTTCAATTATATTTATTAATAACAGATAGTCGTGAAAAAAGTTTAGAAAAAATAGCTTTAAATAATTTTATAAATGTTTTATCAATTGAATTACCTTATGTCAGTTGTTCATTAACATTTTGCATTTATACACTAACATCAAAAACATTTCGAACAGAATTTAAACGTTTGATAAACAGAAAAGTGATCGTAATATTTAAGATTACACCGTAGTGAGTCTCACACAGAATTTGATCAATCTTCTTCTTTCATATTGTAAAAAACAAGTGATATTGTTCATGCTATCGTTCACACTATTTAGGTACATAGGCGATCCCCAATAGAATGTTTTGCATCTAATCTTGTAACAAAGCACTTTCCGAAAGGGTTATTCGGGCCTTAATAGTCTTTCTGAATGCTCCTTTTGAATATACTTTTTTTGCAAAAAAAGTGTCCTTTCGTTAAGTATAATTCTGTAGATGTCTCAATTGTAAAATTATGCATGGATTAAATAGACTTTTCATTTGCCTTTAATGTTTTCATTGTTTCATTTGTCACAACGCTCATTTGTATATTGCCTTACAAAAGTGAACTACTTATTTCCAATCTCTCTTAACAAACTATCCATATCGCAACACTAGTAATGAGTGATTCATCAACAGGAAGGGATAATAAATCAAAAATAATAAGATTTCTCTCATAACTTTTGATGTGATCTTTGGTCTTCATGCTGGACTTCTATTGCGAATTATTATATAATGGAAAGCCAAGTTGTTCACCGTATCATTAAAAACACTTCTCGTCACTCACTTTATTTTCTGGACAATTAGCGGGTTACTTTTTCTAAAAAAAAGTGAACGACGCTAATTGAGTGAAAATTTAACTCAAAGTTAACTCTTTTTAGTGTACACGCATAGACATGATCGTATTAGGAGTATAACGTAAAGAGTCACTGATTCGGACAAATAAGATAGAGTACATTTTCCAAAATATGTAAAATTTTATGCACTGAAATTAGAATAATCAAATACGAAGAAATTGATAGTTCTCAATTAGCAAAACAATTTAACAAATAATAAATAATAATAAATAAGGTTAACAACATTAAGAAGAATTCAATTATTCCGTCAAAGTTTTCTAAAGTTGCACAATTAAGTCTGACATCGTCACAGAATAATATTAAGATTTTAGTTGAATTTTGAGAATTCTGTGAGAAACTGAATAAAATCCGAGTTTCAACAAAAGTCACACTTCTTAGAAGTATATATGTTTTATTTTTAAATAAAATTTCAAATAAAAAACTTTCAAATAAACTCATGAATAGGAATACAGTATTCATATAAAACAGCTAAAAAATATATAAAGCTTCAAAACTGAGCATTAAATATACAAAGACGAAAAATAAATAAAACTCGAACTCCAGTACGCCAGCGCGAGTATTACAAAGGTTCAAGCGAACAGCATCATACAGTAATCGATTCTATACAAAACAACGACGCTAGCTTCTGATAGCTACAAAACATGATCACGTACTGCAGAGTAATCCAAGCCTCAATACCAAACATAAACTGAACATTTATATCTCAATGGCACCGATCATTTCAAACATTTTCGATCTTTAGGAAAAATCTCAGGTCGACAAATCTTGTCAAATGATCTTGCAAGATCATACCACAAGATTTCATATGAATCAGTCTCCCTGATTCCACATAAGAATTTTCTTATAACCAGATTTTACAAGATCTTGCAAGAAGGAGAGATAGAATCTTGTATGATATTGCAAGAAGTGACAAAATTTCTTAAGATCACGTAAGAATTCATCAGATCGTACAAGATTATGTGCCTGATCGTGTTCTATAAATTTCCTCTAAGCCCTCTTAAAAAAGTATCTTTTTCTATTGATAATATTGTCTAGCATAGGTATCGGTAGGATACAAGCGTCGTTAGGATCGCGTCTAACCACGTTCTTTATAGCCATGCAGTTTATTTGTGCGGTAATAGTAAAACATGAAGACATCCATGGACACCTACAGACAGCACACAGACATCCACAGACAACCCAAAGCAGCTACACAGACGTCCACTTCTGCAGACGTAGAAGTGGATGTCTGTGTAGCTGCTTTGGGTTGTCTGTGGATGTTTGTGTGCTGTCTGTCGGTGTCTTCATGTTTTACTATTACCCTATCTGTGCTCAGCTGATGGTGAAATCAAAGAAAGGAAAAAATTCTAAGTTTTGTCGTAAGAACTATGTTATATATATATATACTCAATATCATACTAAAATTTATGTGATAAGAATGAGCCATCGCTTCTTGTAAGACCATATAAGATCTTATAACAAGAAATCGTATGATCTTGCCATAAGAAATAAATATAAGTGGCACCTCTCAATGACAAGATTTTACAAGATCTTGTAAGATCATGCAGTAAGATCTTGTTACAAGATTTCATAAGAAAACAGCAGATCTTATATGATCTTGTCAGATGAATTCCACCTGGGAAGGTGCACCATTTAAAAGAAGAAAGAGACAAAATTTTATTCATTCCTTTGAAACCTTCAGGACTAGTACAACTTGAGCTCTTCATGACGAATATCACGTTAAAAAATTTTAAAACAAAAATTGCACAGTGGCCTCTCACACCTCTGAGAAGAGCATTTTCCAGCAGAACGGACCTTTTACTGAGATTTCCATCATTTTTTAACGAAACACTTTTTTGAGCTGAAACTGTCCAATTGGAATTTGTATATATAAGACTACCAATCTCTAGCTAATAGAAAACTCCAAAACGTTAGGGAGAGTCTCGAAACTTTTTTAAAACGATCGCTCTTTTTGAAAAAGAGACTTTTTATAAATCATATTTTCCCCATAAAATCCAATCAAAAAAAGATAACAAGTTTTATGCATTCGACGCGTCTTTTCAAGCTGTACCCGATGAACTAACTCTCGTTGAGATTTAAAACCAATTGACGCTGGAAAAAAGTCAATTTTTGAAGGCCATTTTTCCTTGTTTCTCAACGTTTGAGCATATGCTGTGCTATCGCACTGGATCCAGGAGCGTGGGATTACATACATTTCTCATGTAATCGACCTGGGCTATAAGAAAAACAGGCTTTCGTTTTTGTCGAAGGACTTCTGAAACCATCGCAACCTTGTGGTGTTTTTGCTGGAAAAAACTTTTTTTTCTAGCGTCAGTTGCTTTTAAATCTCAATGAGAGTTAGTCAAGGAGAAAAC